TGTCTGTATTTTTTACACTTTTTTGTTTTGCACTTTTTTGAATGCACTTTTTTTCATGGGGGGGTCTGGATCTAGTCTCTGGATATAGCAGTGATATTTATCCTACAAAATAATTAAAATTTTCTTTCCCTAGATGAATCTCCAATTCACAAAATGTTCTAGATGACATTTGCGTTGACTGGGGATTAAATGCTCACGTAAGTTTTAGCAAATGGTACTTGTGCTTCTGAAAGGGAATGCCCACCCTTCTTAGAGACAGTAAATAACCCGAAATGGGTAGGGTTAGCAGTACTTTCCCATATAATAGACCTAGTTCACTATACCCCCTCCTTTATGAGAAGCAGAATACCTCACAGAAAATGCTGTGTTCCCCTGTGTATATTTTACGGCCCTATTTTTAGTTATGAAAGGCATGCACCTTCACGGTTCTCTTTTTTCTAATGTTACTGGTGCTTGTTTGGGAGATGCCAGTGTTCACTTATTTTCACACATACTTGTAAATGCCTTCATGTTTCTGTAATATATTTGAACTATAAATATTGCAAACCTTTGTTTTTTCTTCTTCAGCACGTGAACTGTCAGACAACATCATTTTCAAGAAATCTTCCTTTGGCAAGACATGCTGGTGCTCATTTTCATCCTCTACGCATGAATTCTGTAGCAAACTGGATGAAGACAAGTCCTCTTCACTGAAAAAAATATACATATTTTTATTAATAACATAATTAGTATGAATATAACATACTAACATATTCTCAAATGGAGTTGTATTTTTCTAAATAATGTTTTATTTAATCAAGAAAGTTTTATAAAACACCAGAAATACCAAAGATGGTTATAAATACAGGATGTGTGAATGTGCCAATGTTCAGTTTGCGAATCTTTAAAATTGATTCTGGACATTTTAAAGGCTTATAGTTAAGGTAATGTCAAACAAAGGGCATGTACCAATGCAAAAAAATGGAAAATACTTACAAAGGGTAGAGGGTTCTCCTTTTATGTAAACTTGAGGGTGACATGGGAAAAACACCAATCCTTTAACTACTTGCTGACCGGGGGGGGGGTTAAACCCCCTTCCTGTCCATGCGATTTTTCAGTATTCAGAGCTGTGGTACTTTGACTGACATTTAAATAGACCGCAAACATGTCAAGCCTTAAAATTGTGCGTGCCTGCAAAACCTCAAAAAACTACAATAACCAAAATTGGCCATAGGCAACACTTTAAAAGCTTGTACTGCTCATCAGTTTAGTGTTATCAGTGATTGATGGCCCTAAAATTATAGCTCTCACTGCGATGTTCGCGGTGATATGTAACGTGTAGCACAATTGCCGTTTTTGAGCATTGGCGCACCTGATGCGTATTTACGTTTATATATGCATATACGTGGGGGTGGTGGACTTAAGGATTGTTGGGTTTTTTAAACTTTTCTATGTGACTTTTATCATTTTTTTACTTTTTATTTTTTTTTTACACTTTATGTTATTGCCATCACATAGGAAGCCTAACTATCCCCTATATGATACCACACTAAACCAGTTTGTATTACTTCAAAGACAGTTGCCAGAAATATTGTACATTCACTAGAGAATTGCTTAATTAGACCCCAATTTAAGAGGAAAAGACAATGTAAATTTTATGATGAAATAAAAACCAGAATGTGTTATTTCAAAGACAATAGAAAGAGATATTGTAAAGTTGCTGCATACTATGCAAGCATATTGGTTAGGCAGCAGTGTAAGAGAGAAAGAGAGAGAGACAAGGCAAGTCTCATCATGAGATAATATTTACAGTGTATTATTTTAGAGACAATAGCTACACATATAATGCAGTGGCTGCAGAGTATGTAAGCAGCTTGATTAGACTGAAATGTTCAAGGCAGTTTTCATCATGAAGTAAACATTAGAGTGTATTATTTAAGAAACAATAGCCAGACATATTTTACAGTCACTGTACAACGTGTAAGCGGCTTTATTAGGTGGCAATGTTAAAGGGAGAGACAAGACAGCTTTTATCATTTATTTAAAATTAAAATTAGAGTGTATCATTTTGAAGACAGTAGCCATAAATTTGATAGTCACTGCACATTATTTAAGCAGCTTTATTAACAGCATTTAAGAAACTTTATTAGGCCACAATGTAAGAAGGGGAAATGAGCCAGTTTTATCATTATTTATCATTTATCAAAACAAATTAGAGTGATTTCAGAGACAATAGCCAGAAATATTGTACAGTCAATGCACAGTATATAGCAGTAGTTATCAGGCCAAAATGTAAGAGGAAGAGAAAAGGCATGGAATACAAATTGGAGTGTTTTATTTTAGAGACAGTAGCCAGAAATATGGTGTAGACCAGGGGTCCTCAAACTTTTTAAACATGGGGCCAGTTCACTGTCCCTCAGACATTGCTGGGGGCCGGATCATAGTCCCAGAACAAAGGGGGAACGTTAGTGAGCAATTGCTGTGCGTTCCAGCAGCTGCTGCTCTGGTGTGAATAAGCCCTTATTTAGAGGGTATATATGAATATTTTTAACAACTTCTTTAATAAACAAAACATTTTTTTAATACAATTAATTTCTCTTAGCCTGGAACATGTACTGGCATGATTTGTTATTATTTTCTACAGCTCAAGTATTTGTTATTTATTACAATGAATGGGCATGTAGACTGCCCGGTCTTACCTCTCTACAGCGGCGTGCAGCTTTGGGAGAGGCAGGGAGATGATATCACTTCATATCCCAGTTCACTTCTTATTGGCCGCCCTACAAAAGCCTGTGCTGGCGTGCACCCAAAGTTGGAGGGACGCAGCCGCACTGGTGTTACGCTGCTAAAGGAACCAAGGCATTTGGTTTGCCTCAGCATGTGCCCTGAGATGAGAGGGCGCAGCCATGCAGGCCGAACACAGAAGCTGCCAAGCTTCCGGAACAGCCTGTGTGTCTTCCCTGACACCCAGACGGGGCCGGCGGAATGACGATCTCTCCCTGGACCCCGCCGGGTGTCGGCCGGCTGATTGATTGCTATATGTTGTTTAGGGCGGCTGGGCCAATTTTAACTGCTTGAAGACCAGGTGTTTAGACCCCCTTCCCATCCAGGCTATTTTTCAGTATTCAGCGCTGCGGTACTTTGACATTTATTCCGTCATGCAACGCTGTACTGAAATTAATTTTTTACCATTTTTTGGGGACAGATAGAGCTTTCTTTTGGTGGTGTTTAATCACCACTGCGGTTTTAATTTTTTACTATATTTCGGGAAAATTACAGAACATTTTCAAAACAAAATTTTTTTTTACATTATGTTAGGAAACATTTATTATCACCCAATTTTTTGGTAAAACATAAAAGACGGGGTCACGTCGGGTAAATAGACACCAAACATGTCAAGCTTAAAGATTGTGCGCACTCGCAAAAAAACACCATACCCAAAATTGACCATAGGCGATGCTTTAAAAACTTTTACAGCTCATCAGTTTAGTGTTATCAGTGATTGATGGTCCTAGAATTATTGCTCACACTGCGACGTTCGCGCCGATAGGTAACATGTGTGGTGTAATGGGCGCAATCGTCGTTTTCGCAGGTATGCGTACCCGACGCATTTTTACATGCGTGTATTTATGGGTGGGGATTTTTTTTTAATGTTTTTTTTTTATTCTTTTTTTATGTGTAACTTTTAAAAAAATGTAATCTTTAATTTTGTTTTCTATTTTTTTCCCCACTTAACCTTATTGCTATTACATAGGGGGCTAAGAAACCCCCCTATGTGATAGCAAAAGATGTGACAGGTCCTCTTTATGGAGACATGAGGGGTCTCCAAGACCCCTAATGTCACCTTGGACCCCAGAAGAAGGTGATGAAGCACAGATCTGCTTCATCAGCTTCTCTCCAGCGTCTGAAGCTAGAGAGTGACACAAGAATGCGGAAGTGATGTAATATACATCACTTTCGCATTCTTACAGCGGAGAGGGGACCAGAGGGAGGTCTTGTACCGACTCCCTCTGATCCCCTGTGACACAGGCACTATGCTGGTCCCGGGCTCAGCGGAGCCTGGGATCAGCGTGACAACAGGAGGGGGGGACACGGGCCGACCGCCCATACAAGCGATCCGCCGGCTTTATAGCCGGCGGATCGCTTGTATGTTAACAGGCATCTCTGCCTGTTTTTAAATTTACTGCATTCCCTGCTCGCGCGCGCCAATGGGCGTGGCTTATTTAGAGAGCTGCCGGACGTTTTTTTACAACGGCCGGCCTGGAGGTAGTAAAGGTAGGGGTCTGCAGCTCCCCGGCCTTGACACACAAATGGGCTGTGCCAAGGACCCTGGCGGCCAGATGTGCCCACGGGCCGTAGTTTGAGGACCCCTGTTTTAACCCCTCCCCACTCTGCTATAAAAATGTGTTGTGCTTCTATCCCCATTAGAAGAAATATTACATCACTTCCTGTATGTGTCACAGCCTGTCACCAGGAGAAGAAGTGAAGTGTTCCCAACAGCGACACAGACAGCAGTAAAAACCTGACAGATATATGTAAAACAAATAAAAAATACTGCAGTTCCATTTTAAATTCTGTGGACAGTATGTTATATTAATCTGCCTGTAACTGCAGAGCTAGACTTAGTGACATGGCAATGCTGTTTTTTTGCAGTCCCACAGCAGCACCCAAGCTACAGATTGCCTAGCAATGCGCAGTATCACAGACACAAGCATGTCACCCAGCAACGTGGACCCATGACTCCAATACCAGCACAATATACAAGGAACAACAGCTGGGACTGGTGCCAGGGACAGACAGAGAGGTACTCACTGTTGGGGGCCACAAGGACTGTCATGCAGAATCACTGCTGTAGCCATGGACTTCAGGTGCTTCCGGGTCCTTTCCAGTCATGTGACTCGGCTACCAAAACAGTCAACGAGCGCCACCTGGTGGCCACCAAGAATACCGCACGCAGATTATGTTCTGCGTGCACGCAAGTGGGCGTGGCTTATCTAGAGAGCT